ATTGAAGATACAAAGATAAAAAAGACAATGGTCCTTGCCTCAAGCAGTTTCTAATTTTAGATAAAACATGATAGCCACCCAGCCCGTGGTTCACACCTCTAATCCCAGCTGAGGCAAGAGTTGAGGCCAGGAGTTTAAGACCAGCATGGGCAACATAGCAACTCCCTGTCTCTAAAAATAAAAATAAAATTAGCAATGGTGGTATATGTATGTAGCCAGCTACTTGGGAGGCTGAGGCAGGAGGACCACTTGGGCCTAAGAGTTCAAGGTCATAGTGAGCTATGATTGCACCACTGTACTCAATTCTGAGCAAAAGAGCAAGAGCACATTTTAAAAAGAATATAGAAAGTTACAAATGTGAGGATAAAGGAGACCAAATAGTCTGGTGGTAAGGGACAGTCAGTCTAATAGGACAGAATAGAATATAAACCAAAGTGTAGAATATCTCTACATACAGAAAAAAAGTAACTGGTGCTGCCGGCTGACAAACTTTGTTAGGTAGGATAGACTTTTGAGATATATAGGAATGACACTAGAGTAGTCAGCAGGGGGCCAGAGCTTAAAAGTTTTAAATACCATGCTAAGTAATATAGACTTTGGTAAGCAGCAGTTTCTAATACTTAAAAGCAAAGGAGTGACATAGTCTAATTTAAGTTGCAGACAGATCACTCAGTTAGCAAGGCAGAGCTAACAACAGTCTCGATACTATTTAGCCAATAATACGACTTATAAAATGAGAGAATGTCCCGATACCATCTCTCTCACTGCTTGGTTTAATAAACAAAGGTCATAATAATGTAATTTAACAGTGTCTTCATACATCCCCAGATTATGTAATTTGATGCAAATAATTAAAATGTCATGTTTTCTTCGTTTGCTGATTCAACAACATTGGAGCAAGGTAACAAAAGTGCAACCACTGAATATACAAGAACCAGGTCTTTAAAAGGAGGAACATCTCAAGTTTACCATGCTTAATAGTCTAAAAAAATTAATAGTAATTCCCTAAACAAAAATGGCAAACAACTAAATCTGATTATTGAAAAATAACAATATATGACCACCTTGGAACAAACAGAACTGAAGAGCTAAGATATCTGAACAATTTAGGAAGCAGTATCTGAAACTACTGTTCCTAGAAAGCTGTTTATATGTGGTTTTTATTTGTTTTTGCTACCTGGGGGAGGAGGGGTGAGTTTAAAAGTAGCATTAAATCAAGCTGTGTCAATTCAACTAGTTAAAACCTGCATATTTCAACACTTGACAATATAATTTTAATAGAAGATAACAAAAAGCCTATCAATAAATCACCGAAAATTCATGAAACAATATATCTGAACACAAAAGAAGCTTGCTTTGGAAATAATACTGCTTTACATTTGAGTCTAGATTCCACCATTTCCCATTCTGTAATCCTGAACATGTTACCTCTTTAATCTCAGATTCTGTGTTTAAAAAAAAGGAGGGGGGGCATAAAAGCTACATTTTTGTTAGCTGTTCTAAGAAACATTAACTGCCCAACACAAAGCCATATTGAGGGGCTTTACCTGTGTTATCTTTCCCAAAAGAAATTGCATAAGCAACAGAAAACATGACATTATACCTAAGTTGAATAAATAATAGTTTTTCCTTTCTATTGAAGATACATAAGAGTAACTTATTTCTTTGAAAATATTTTAGATATACTATTCATTCTCACAGGTACTTTTTATGTTTTCCTGTTCACCTGTTTTATTAGGTGTGGGGTGATCGTGGCTTGCTGGCACGCTTGTTCTCACATTAGCATTTTTTTCTTTTTGATTTATCCTCCTGAAGGTGACACATTAGCATTTTAAAACTGACATATATCACAGCAGCTTAAGGTCAACACTAACTCTCATTCACTTATATGCCCTTAAACACTGTATTGCATTATTTTTACTATAAAAAGGGAAGAGAACTCTCAATCATGTTATTTCCCTTCTTATTTGAAACAAAGATTTGGGAAAAGAAAGTAGTTGCATCATTCATGTATTTATTTACATGAATTGAGCTATATAATTTCTCTAAATTAATTTAAAAATAAAAGTAATAATGCAAGTAATTCTGCCTACCTTCCTTCTTTACTCAGTAAATGTAGGTCTTGAAATGAGTTTGATAGTGATGTCAATTTCCCTTTCCACAGACCCTCTCAAAATCTGATAATCGCACCTTGCTGAATGCTTCTCTAGTACTTATTTTCCATGAGAGGCAGTGAACACAAGCCAAATATATCTTATTTGATATTCAGTGGAAGAAACAGTGACTTTTTCTTGAACCAAGAGAAAAATCCTCATTGTGCTGGACAGACACTGTATAATGGTCTCCCATCATGATATCTCCTATTTACACTGACTTTAGAACGTAATCCCTAACAAGAGGCCACTACTTTGTAGAATGAGGTCTGTGGTTAAGTATTACATTTTCCACAAAGTATTTTACACTTCTCCCCTCAAGAGGTGAAATCCTCTTCCCTGTCACTGGAATAAGAGCTGGTCTTAATAACATGCTGCTTAAAAACAAAATACGGGCCAAGCGTGGTGGCTCACGCCTGTAAATCCCAGCACTTTGGGAGGCCAAGGCTGGCAAATCACGAGGTTAGGAGTTTGAGACCACCCTGGCCAACATGGTGAAACCCTGTCTCTACTAAAAATATAAAAATTAGCCTGGCGTGGTAGCAGGCTCCTGTAATCCCAGCTACTCGGGAGGCTGAGGCAGGAGAATCGCTTGAATCCACGAGGCAGAGGCTGCAGTGAGCCAAGGTCATGCCACTGCACTCCAGCATGGGCAACAGAGAGAGACTCCTCAAAAAAACAAAAACCACCACCACCACCACCAAAAAAAAAAAAAAAAAAAAACCAAAAAAAATGATGCTACACGACATCCAAGGCTAGGATAAAGAGGCTAATACAGTTGCCACTTAGGCTTTTGCTCTTTTCCTTTCATCCACTTGTCCTCTGAAACCAGCCACTTGCTGTAAGGAAACTCAAGTCTTACCGAGAAACTACATATAGGTGCTCTGGCTTATGGCTCCCAGCAACCATCTAACTGCAACCGCATAAGAACTGGAGAAAGAACCAACTAGCTGAGCCAAGACAAGCCCTAGACCCATGACCCGTAATAATGATGACTCTTCTTAGTTTATAATATCACTAAGTTTGAGATGGTTTATTTCACAACAGATAACCGGTATAAGGTCTGACATCTTTGTTAGAAGAAACAATCATACATTGCTTGACAAGATATGTTCTAAGAAATGCACTGCTTGGCAATTTCATCATTGTATAAACATGAGAGTCTATTTACCAAAACCTAAATGGTATAGCCTACTATATATCTAGGCTATATGGTATGGCCTATTTGCTACTAGACTAAGAACACATACCACATGCTGATGTACTGAATACAGCAGGCAACTGTGACACAATGGTAAGTATTTGTGTATTTAAACATATCTAAACATAGAAGAAGTATAGCAAAAATATGGTATAAAAGATTAAAAATACCCAGTATAACTATCATAAACGGAGCTTGCAGGGTTGGAAACTGCTCTGGGTCAGTGAGTGAGTACATGTGAAGGTGTAGGACATTACTGTACACTACTGTAGACTTTATAAACATTTAGGCTACAGTAAATTTATTTTAAAAATTTCTTTAATAAACCTTAGCTTACTGTAACTTCATAAACTTTTAAGAAAAATTATAACTTTTGTAATAACACAGTATAAAACACAAACACACTGTACAACTAACCAGAATATTTTTTCTTTTTCTTAGAGATGGTATCTCACTATGCTACCCAGGCTGGATAACATAGTGGGCTCAAGGGATCCTCCCACCTCAGCCTCCTAAGTAGCTGGGACTACCAGGCATACACTATCACGCCCAGCTCCTATATTCTTCTTTTATAAGCCTTTTTCCTTCCTATTTTTAAATTATTTTTTAACTTTGTTGTTAAAAATGAAAACACACACAAATTAGCCTAGGCCTACACAGGGTCAGGAACATTACACTATCCCTGTGTTCCACCTCTATATCCTGTCCCATTGGAATGTCTTCAGGGGCAACAACATAATTGGAGCTGTTATCTCCTATAATAATAATGCCTTCTTCTGGAATACTTCCTGAAGGACCTGTCATGGGATGATTTGTAGTTACTTTTTTTTTTTTTTTTTTTTTTTTTTTTTTTAATATAGACAGAGTTTCACTCTTGTTGCCCAGGCTGGAGTGCAATGGCACAATCTTGGCTCACTGAAACCTCTGCCTCCCGGATTCAAAACAATTCTCCTGCCTCAGCTTCCTGAGTAGTTAGGATTACAGGCATGGACCACCAAGCCTGGCTAATTTTGTATTTTTAGTAGAGATGGGGTTTTTCCATGTTGGTCAGACTGATCTCAAACTCCCAACCTCAGGTGATCTGCCACCCGCCTGAGCCTCGCAAGGTGCAGGGATTACAGGTGTGAGCCACCATGCCTGGCCTATTTAGCTTTTAATAAGTAGGAGCACACTCTAAAATAATAAAAGTTATCATATAGTAAATACATAAACCATTAACAGTTTATTTTCATTGTCAAGTACTGTGTGCCGTACATAATTGTACTATATTTTTATATAACTGGCAGTGCAGAAAGTTTGTTTACACCAACACCACCACAAACCCATGAGTCATGTAATAAACTATAAAATTATAGCAGCTAAATCACTAGGGATTAGATATTTTTCAGCTCCATTATAATATTACGAAACCACCATTGTTGATGCAGTCTATTATTGACTAAAAGGTCATTATGGGGCAATGACTGTATATTAAACAATTTTACAGAAAATGTTCAACTCTACCATACTTTCACATGAGAAAAGATAAAGAAAAAGCCTAACATGCCTTGTTATAGTAGAGGTTAACTGAATCATCATTTTATTTGCATGTGATGATGCTTCAAGGGACACTATTTGATCCCACAGATTTATCAAAGAGGATATAGGCATGAATATAATATACACGATGTCTGGGCTTAATGGGCTTACATTCCAAGAAGGAAAAAACAATAGTAAATGATAAGGAAAATTCAGACTGTGATATGTGCCATGAACTAAAAACATATTAAGGGGAGAGGAATCAGAGGAAGAGCAACTTCAGACAGAGTGAACAGCAGCAATCTCACTGAAGGTTAAATATGATTAAGAATAGGGCCAGTTGCGGTGGTTCACACCAGTAATCCCAGCACTTATAGAGGTTGAAGTGGGCAAATCACTTGAACTCAGAAGTTCAAGACTAGCCTGGCCAACATGGTGAAACCCACCTCTACTAAAAATACAAAAATTAACTAGGCATGGTGGCACATGCCTGTAGTCCCAGCTACTCGAGAGGCTGAGGCAGAAGAATCACCTGAACCCAGGAGGTGGAAGGTACAGTGAGCCAAGATCGCCTACTATACTCCAGCTCAGGCAACAGAGTGAGACTCCACCTCAAAAAAAAAAAAAAAAAATCTGGTAATAGCCTGTCACAGATCTGGAGAAAAGCAACCCAGCCAAAAGAGAAGGTATAAATGTCTAGAGGTGGGAATAAACACATAATGAACACAAAAAGAATCATGTAAGATGACATCACAGAGCCCAACCAGACCAAGTACTCACCTTACAAATCATAATAAGGAATTCACATTTTATTCTAATCACAATGAGAATTTATTAGAGGGTTTTAAACAAGAAGACTAATATTTAATGTAAGTTTTTAAAAGATTGCTCTGGCCGGGCACGGTGGCTCACACCTGTAATTCCAGAACTTTGGTAGGCCAAGGTGGGAGGATCACTTGAAGTCAGGAGTTCAAGACCAGCCTGGCCAACATAATGAAACCCCATCCCTATTATAAAACACACACACACACACACACACACACACACACACACACACACGCCAGGTGTGCTGGTGCACGTCTATAGTCATAGCTAGTTGGGAGGCTAAGGCAGAATGGCTTGAACCTGGGAGGCAGAAGTTGCAGTGAGCTCAGATCACACCACTGCACTCTAGCCTGGTGACAAATTGAGACTCCATTTCAAAAAAAAAACAAAAACAAAACATTGTTCTGGCTGCTGGACTGAGAAAGGGCTATAGAGAGGTAAGATTAGTGCAAATGTCTACAGCACCTGAAAATCAATGCTTTTGCACAAGATAAGTGCCCTACAAATGTTGGCTATCATTATTATTGCTATCATTATACATAGTCCATGTTGTTGCAAGTATATAGTTTTCCTTCCTCTGATAAACTATGTATTCCTTCAGGATAAAATTAATTTCAGTAATTTTATGCAAATGAGTGTATCAGAATTATCTGAAAAGTTTACCAAACTACATTGCCTGTCCTCCAACCAGCAGGACTCTATCTCAAAAGGCCTGGGATGCAGTCCAGGCATATGCATGTTATGAGCTCCCCAGGTGATTCCAATATTGTGGCCTAAAACCACTAGTCAGTGTCATTCCTCTTCTGTACCTTCCTCTGATACAACACAAAATCAATGTTTAACAGATTTCTAGAATTAATGACACATATATTCCATTACGAAGTAGCTGCTTTGAAGGAAATGTAGTAAAAGGTTCACTATTGCTTATTTATGTTTCAGGCCTCAAACAACCAGAGGTATTAACCTTCACCTAAATCCATCTATTAGAGTTTCATGGAACCTGACTTTCATCTTTAAAGAAAATAGTCACACCAAAAATCCAAATCACTTATAAAAAGATAAAATTTGTCTATATTAAAATTTCACTACCAAATACAACTTTTAGCAGTGGTATCTTCATTTGCAGAGTAACAGTACATTCTCGTTTATTTTCCCTAAGAATTTCATGTAAAGTTTTTAAAGCTCAAAACTAAACTCTAGAAATAGTTGACAGAATAACTTGAGAATTCCATTTGTTTGGTTATATTCTACATCAAAGTTGCCTATTTAACATTATTCAGTTAATAGTTTCCAAATAATAACAACCAATGCATATAGGAAACTACTTTAGAAAAGAATAAAAAGAATAAAAAAGTAATGTATTTGGATGGATTTATGAGAATTATTGTTATGCAATAAAAAGCTACTCTAAAATAGTTATTTTAATTAATTCTATCAAAAACTTATCTTTTAAAAAGTAATGAATCACATGATGGGACTTCTATGAATAATGGAACTGTGACCTGATACTAAAATGAGACAAATGTATTTTTGTGGTTTTAAAAAATTAATCGTAGGACAGACAGATCATCTGGAAAACAAAAAACCTTTAAGTGGAAAAGCTAATATCCTATGAACAATCACTGTTAAGAATTACAAGTCAGAGGCATTAGACTAAATGAAACAATCCTGATTTTGAAGTTCTAGATTTTAAAACCATCCCTAATTAGTACTACCAAACCAAACTGTTCACTGATGAAAAACATCAGATTTAAAGGCTTCAGTTAGAAATGCATAGTTACCTAGAGAATACTGCAGTCATGGAAAAATAATATTGCCAGTTCAAGTGTTACTTCTTTACCTTTCTAACCTCAGGATGAACCATATGTTTGAAGAAAATTGTGGGCCCCGATGAAAATTACTAAAACAGGGGGAAAATAATTTAAGATACTCAACTCCTCAGCATTAAATATAAAAGCAGCAATATGAAACACCTTCATTTATGAAATGTCTAAATATAAATATACCATCATTTAACACACTATATTATAAAAAGTTAGGAGATTTAAGCAGAATCATAGTGTACAAATTCACTGTTTCTTCTCTCACATTACATAAGTCCTAATATTTGGTTTTAGTTATTCCACATCCAAATTTTACACACACACACACACACACACACACACACACACACACCCTGTAAACCTGTGTTTTAAACTCTGAAGCCTTACGGATGGATTCTGACACTTTTCTAGTAGCTTAACAGCCAATTTCTCCAATTTCCCAATAAAATTTTCATAGTGGCAATTAATGAAGAAAATAAGAAATGTTGTAATCAAACACATTTTATGTACATTTTGGAACACAGGTCAGGAAGGAAATCACTGACCTATAGAACTTTTGCATTCAAATGCAAAATCACTCACTCTTGATTGTCTTTATTAAGATATCATGTTTAATACACATTATACATTTACAAGTAACTGCTCTTCCATCCACATAGCTTTAAAACATGTGACATAGTCAAGCACTTCAGTAATTATTCTAACAGGCATTTCTTTCAGATATTAAAATACATACAACTTATAAGAAACCTTACTTGGTTTTACAACAACTGTCTGGTAAAATGTCAGACAATTAGCTTTCTGCAGCACGAAAAAGGTATAGTACTATTTAAGACACCCTAGGAAATCTCATGATGACTCATGTGTATGCTCCCATGATACCAACATAGGAATCATGTCAGTCAAATTGACCACCTGGTCTCAAAACCAAAAAGTACCCTCCCCACCAAAGATACCTAAAATTCATCATCTCCCATTCTCTACCTCAAATGCAAAAGAAATAGACTGCAGAATAAGAAACAAAGAACTGAGAAAAACTGTTATCAAGTCATACTTAATATTATAAAACAGTTAGAATTTCCTAATGGAAATAAGTCTAGATACTCTTTATTAGACCCCTCAAACCCCTCAAAAACACCACCTTCTCTAACGTTAATTGCTAGCTAATGTTAACTTACAAGTCCATGGATCAACCTCCAAATTAAAAACTCCTGCTCTTAATAAATACAATTAATATATTTACATCGGCAATAAAGATCTAAAATCTCTTATCCAAACACTTCAGGCCAGCAGGTGTGCTTCAGAATTTAGAATTTTTCATTTTGGAACATACTGCTACAGTGAAGTATAATTTACAAATATTACCTCTAATGGAAAAATGATATAAATAAATACCAATATCAGCCTCACATCACAGTTCAGCGTAAGTCAGATTTTATCAACCAAATGAATTAGGGAAAAAAGTTCATGCCCAGGGGTCAGGCTATAGTGCCAGAACACTTGCTTGTGCATAACTAAGGCCACATGCCCTCTTCAGCCAGCCCTTTTAACTGGGAGCAAAGTGAAGACAGGAAAAAAAGAGACAAATTCAATTTCAGGGATTTCTGAGTTTCAGAATTGCACACAAAGAACTGTGCACCTAAAATTAAAATGTTTTAAAGTTTTTATCAAATGTTTAGAACTTTCCTTTTTAATGGAAATTAAACACATACGGATAGCAAGGTTTAGGGAAAATTAAGACTGTCAGTAGTTGTCAAAAAGAGACTTTGAAAATACATGAGAACATTTTTGTCGTCACAATGAAAGGATTTGCCAAAGGCCAGTGATGGTTAATATCCTGTAACAACTTTTAAATATCCTCCAGCCATGAAGCTGAAAAAAATTTTAATTATCTGAGTCTAGAACCTAACTCTGCACACATATAAACACAAAGGGGTGGGGTTTTTTACACACTATTTTAATAGACTGTAAATTAAAGGAAAGTTAACCTTGTTTTGTTTGAAATTTTCCCAAGTGTTATCTCTCCACTTCAAAAAAATCTTGTCAAGGATAACAATACCTCTCTTAATTATAATTTGGTTGCCAATCTGCATGAGTTGCAATTGCATTCATGATGAGCATACATCTAAAGGCAAGCATCTAATCAGTGATTCTTAACTCTGGCTGTATATGACAATCATCTATGTCAGGCCAACACCCTAAACCAATTAAATTAGAATCTCTAGAAGGTAGGACATAGGCATCAGTATTTTTGCTTTGTTTCACTGTTTTTGAGGTAAAGTTTATGTATAGTGAAATGCAGAGTTCTTAGGTGTACAACTCTATTGGAGTAACAAACACCCCAATCAAGATACAGGACATTTCCACTACTCAGAAAGTACCCTCCTGCCCCACATCCAATCAATGCTCCTACTTTCCATAAGCAATCACTCCTCATATTTCTAATGCTATAGCCTCATTTTTGAACTTCATATAAACATAATCAATCATTCAGTATATACTCTTCTGTATCTGACTTCTTTGACTAAACACAATGTTTCAGAGATTCATTCATAATCATTTCAT